TGTAAGCACTGTGTAATTGCCTCGAGGGTGCTTGACCATTTTAACACAACGCGGTGCGATCATGCCCCTTGCGCGGAGCGAGGATTCTCCGCCCGGCACAGCATGGTCTACTCGACCACCAGTATGGTTACCGCCAAAAAAAAAAACGAGGTAAAAAAAAAACGGTAACCTGGTTGCCGAGTTCACGAAGTGAATTGGCTTGTTTTACAACGTCGTTGCCAAGCGACGAAAGCCCAATCCCGATGGCAAACACCGGGGGGGGCGGCTTGTTTTACAACGTCGTTGCCAAGCGACGAAAGCCCAATCCCGATGGCAAACACCGGGGGGGGCGGCTTGTTTTACAACGTCGTTGCCAAGCGACGAAAGCCCAATCCCGATGGCAAACACCGGGGGGGGCGGCTTGTTTTACAACGTCGTTGCCAAGCGACGAAAGCCCAATCCCGATGGCAAACACCGGGGGGGGCGGCTTGTTTTACAACGTCGTTGCCAAGCGACGAAAGCCCAATCCCGATGGCAAACACCGGGGGGGGCGGCTTGTTTTACAACGTCGTTGCCAAGCGACGAAAGCCCAATCCCGATGGCAAACACCGGGGGGGGCGGCTTGTTTTACAACGTCGTTGCCAAGCGACGAAAGCCCAATCCCGATGGCAAACACCGGGGGGGGCGGCTTGTTTTACAACGTCGTTGCCAAGCGACGAAAGCCCAATCCCGATGGCAAACACCGGGGGGGGCGGCTTGTTTTACAACGTCGTTGCCAAGCGACGAAAGCCCAATCCCGATGGCAAACACCGGGGGGGGCGGCTTGTTTTACAACGTCGTTGCCAAGCGACGAAAGCCCAATCCCGATGGCAAACACCGGGGGGGGCGGCTTGTTTTACAACGTCGTTGCCAAGCGACGAAAGCCCAATCCCGATGGCAAACACCGGGGGGGGCGGCTTGTTTTACAACGTCGTTGCCAAGCGACGAAAGCCCAATCCCGATGGCAAACACCGGGGGGGGCGGCTTGTTTTACAACGTCGTTGCCAAGCGACGAAAGCCCAATCCCGATGGCAAACACCGGGGGGGGCGGCTTGTTTTACAACGTCGTTGCCAAGCGACGAAAGCCCAACCCCGATGGCAATCACCGGGGCGGGCGG